ACTATTCTGACAACCTTTGGGCATATTTGAGTCAGAGTTTTTTTCTTTGACCTGCTCCTTATCCTTTACCTTCTTTCCTTAGAGAAGGGAAATGTTGGATGTGAGTAGTTACCCTGTTTTGCTTCTATAAACCTATTCCACAATTGAATGACTTGAAGTGCCAGGTTAAGGATTTTAGAGCCTGTTGTACTGACAGCTGGGGTCTGTGATAGGTTTTGAGCCATGTAAATGAAATGATAAGGACTGTGTGTGTTTTAGAACAAGACTTTGGTGGTGTGCTCGATGGATAACAACCACATTGTAGGTTTTCTGCTACAGTAAAATAGGAACATGATATATTGCTGTTTAAATTGGAATAATAATTTAATTGATTTTGTAGGTAAAATTATAGTAAGATAAAGCCTATTCTAAGAAAAGCTTTTATTGGATCTGAAAATTTAGATACTTTTTTTGCTTAATTGTTCAAAAGTTGGCTGTGCGACTGTGCAAGTAGGTTACTGCCTTTATTAGAACTGTTATAAAAGATGGCTATTTTAAGCAAATAGAACAATCACCTGTAATGTTTATGCCCTCAACAGATGAAAGGCCTAAAGGAAAGGAATTCAAATTCATTTTCTTTATTACTTAAGCTTTCTCTGGGAAGATATAATCAATTCAAAGCTTAAGGAAAAATGAAAATAACACTTAGCTCAGTTCATAGGGTTGGCTTTTATTACATTCTAGTTATGAATTTGTAATCAAGGTATGAGATATGGTACTACCTTGAATTTGCTAAGCTTGGGTGAGGAAGAGATTATTGGTGTCTCATCTCCAGACTATGATAATATGCCCATTTTACACATCTCATATGATAGCTCTGAATATTTTCAAATTATATAATCACAACAATAGATAAAGGTTATTTTCTGTTTTTTTTTAAATTATCTTCTTTTAAACTTTATAAAATTTCTAAGTTTCATTTATTACAGGTTAAAATATATATCACTGTAAAGAAAATAGTTTCATGAAATTTGGAACATATTTCAATACTACTGTTAGTTAGCTCTCTCTCACTGTGACAAAATACTTGAGAAAACAACTTAAAAGAGGAAATATTTACTTTGTTCATGGTTTCAGTCCATGGCCTGGTGGCTTCATTGTTGTGGGGCTTGTTTTAGTACATCATGGCAACATGGTGGAGAAAAGCTGTTCACCTTATGACATCGAGAAGCAAAGAGAGCCAGAGAAGGGATCCAGGATAAAATATACCTTTCAGAGGCAAACCTCCAGTGATCTGCCTCTTCCAATTAGGCTCTACCTACTAAAGTTTCTACCTTCTCTCAGTAGCACTATCAGCTGGAGACCAAGCCTTTAACACAGGAGCCTTTGGGGAACATTTGAGATTTAAGCCATAAAAAATACTTCAAATGTAATAGCGTTTGTAGTGTAAATATGGTTCTAAATAGTTTCATACTAATTAAGCTCTAACTTGAGAAATAAGCACAGAAAAAAAAATCACTCTCCCTATGCTATTTAAAGAATAAATGAGAGAAGCCTGTAAGGCATTAGTACATGATAATTTTAATGTTCAAAAAGACTATATCCATTCATTTGTTCACCAAATGTATGAGCACCTATCATGAACCAGACATTGTTGTAGACACAGAGAATACAGCAGGGAATAAAAGAGACAATAATTGTAGCTCTCATTGTGCTTCCAGAATAATTGTGCTTGCTTTATTCTCCTCCATTGCATTTTAATTCTTTCAAAGTAAGTGTTTGGATAGTTGTGGCAGAAGAGCATGTGGCAGGATGCATGTTCCCCTGTCCATCTGTGTGAGTCCATGGTACCATCGATGATTTATAATTGCCCATGGAGGCCAAGGCTTTTGGTGTGTTGCCCTCACCCAGTTAATCAGATCAACAAAACAATGTAATATATAAGAAGTTTGGCTCGTTTTAGTTCTTATGTTTTAAAAAATGTTTGATTTATTTTGTTAATCAGTCAAGTTTTGTAGACATGTTTTGAGTTTCCGAAGGGAAGAGGTTTTATCTTATAATTTTTATTGCCTTTGGTTCAGGGCATAAAGTCCAGCGAAGACATGACCATTTCCCTCCTGAATTAAGCAATGCAGATTGCCAAATTGAATAAATAAACTGAAAATTCTCACTGGGGCTTGAATTCTTTTCAAACCCATGAATTAAATATAGGAATATGAGAAATGTCATGCTATATTAAGTCAATTGTCCATGGAACATGGTAACTTAAAAAAAGCATGATATTCACTCGACATGACATTGATCTACCTTGAACACCCATTATATTCCCTTAGTAATACATTCCATATCAATTTTCCACAAATCAATTTTCTACAAAGACCTTCTTTGATCCCATTTCTATTTTCAGTTTGTACTACCTCTTTAGTAATGAGTTTATTATCTCTGGTGTATACTTCACATCCATATTCCAATGACTGTGTAAACTTTTAATTTTCAAATTTTCAAAATATTCACTAGAGTACACTATAATTTGTAATACATGCTTAGCTCATCTATTTCTTCTTTTTTCTTGTTCTTTCCTTTCTTGTTTGAAGGGTTTGAATTTTCCTTTGATTTTATGTGGAAAATATATTCTTTTACTCATTTTAAACCTACATCTGTTCCTCTGTGATGTCCTTTATGCTGGGGAGAATGTGAATTATGCACATAATCATAAGGCGAGTACAGTAATTGTGTTTATGGGTAACATTTGCTTTACTACCATACACATGTGATGAACATTCTATTGTATTTATTTTTATAGCAGCACATGAAAGAATTGATATTCTTTTGCTTGATCTAGAATTCCCAAACAAAAATACTGATAACATTTTCTGCTCTGTTATGAATCACATACTAAGTGGAGTATACTACCCTATCAATACTGAATAAATATTTATACTGACAGAACATGTGGGTGCATGAGCTTTAACATTCTTGAACTCTTAGTGCATTGTTTTTGTTAATATAAATATAATTCACTATTTTAGTAATTCTTTTAAGTCTTTTAATAGATCCATCTCTTAATACATGTTTGCACATATATTATATCTTTCCTTCCATGCTGAAGCTTTAATTTCCAGAAAGAGAAAATATATTTTATTGACATTATCTTCTCTTGTCTCAATGCTTTGCTTTCTTCTTTTCTTATTTTTATACTTATACCTGCTAATGTCTAGTCTTAAATAAATTGATGGTAAATTTGATTGATAAAACAAGTTGATATACTCAAAATTAACTTTTTCTTTAACACCTCTAATGTGTATTGTATGCATATGTATACATTTTTTATATTTGGGTCCCCAAGTTCATTCTCTTTAACATGATTTGTTTCAGCCAATTTGAATGTATAGTTTTTACTTGGAATGTAAAGTAAATTTTAGAACTTATATATATATATGTATATTTAGTTATATATATTTATATATTTAGTTATTTATGTATAAATAACTAAATATATATATTTAGTTATTTCTTCAGTAATAGATTCTTTTCTATACTACAGCAATGGGTGTATTAAAAATATCTAACTTGGGGCTGAGGCTGTGGCTCAGTGGTAGAGCGCTTGCCTAGCATGTGTGAGGCACTGGGTTCGATTCTCAGCACCACATATAAGTAAATGAATAAATAAAGGTCTATAAATCTAAAAATATTTTAAAAAATATAACTTTGAGGAGCATATATTAAAGACAAAAGTATACTTTAGGGACATTATTTTCTCTTATCCTGGGAATTAGTGGTTTATATGCAGCATGTTCACTCTATCACTCTGTGAAATATTCTGGAAAAACCACACTTAGAGATTATCAAACTATAATGGCTTTATCTAAGATTAAACTTAAATGGCTATTAGAGTAAGTGAGGTATTATAGGATGCTGTGAATATCTGTGGCTTGCTCTTCTTACAACAGACATTTTATATTCCTAAGGGTACAAGCAGGGAAAATTTTGAGCCTATACTATGAAGACAGAAATTTACATCTTCCCATTTACCTTGAGTAAATGTGTGGCTATTTCCAGAACTGAAATATTTTAATCCAAAAAATTCAGTGCATTATTTGTGGAAAAAGAAAAAGAAAATTCTATGCTATGTAGATTGTCTGATACTTGCCAAGAGGACAAGAACAGAATGAGAAAGTCCTTTTGTTGTTGTTGACTGGAGGCATTGTTACCTTTTCTAAGTTTCTAACAGCACATACTGAAGAGTACTTGAAACTGCCACATGGTTTGTCCCCTCCAGAACTACATGCCATCTTTCTATAGTATAGCAATGACATGAACAAGGCATAATAAGGGACCCATAGAAGCTGATCTCTGCTCTGCAGATGACACAAATAGAAAGCTTTGAACAAGAGTGGAAAGGCACACTGTCACTTGTCTTTCCTCTCTGAAAAACCCAGGGCACATTCTGCTAAGCCTTCATGTTCTCAGAGAAATATGATTTAACCTCCACTTTCCACACAGTAAGAAACAACACCGTAGACCTGTCAGGAATGTGCTGGCAGACTGGAGGAATTTGGACAAGTGTTTTTCTTTCCAGTGTTTTCATGTGACTTGACTCATTTTCAATGTAGTTACATCTTGACCTGGAAAGAGCTGCCATGGCTTGCCTCTTCATTTGGTTTACCTTGATTCTTGATGTGCATGTACCTCCTTCCCCTACTCCCACCAGATGCAGCCTCTTGTTTCCCTTGCTTTCCCCTGGATGTCTACACATAGGCTTACACTCTGATTTCCAGGATCGCTGAGATAGATACAAAGATATTCACTCAAAACCAGCCTACAGTTCCTCACTCCTTTGACCAGATATGACTATTTTGTATCTGACAGGTTCTCCTGTAGTTAGTACAGAAAATAATAGTCCTCACATCTCTCTAGTTTCTCTCCCCTCCCCCTCCATCAAATGACTGATTTTTATGCATGAAATAATAGACAAGCCTTGGGTGACCTGTTTTCCCCCCCTCTTCTCTCCCTCCCCTTTTCCCTTGCGGTAAAATAGTGCTGAAGAAAGAGGGCACTAGTGTACAGCCCAGATCGCATCCTTGCACCGTCTGGATTAGAGCTGAGGCGTCTGCGAACCGAGGGCGGCTGGGGTCCTCTGACCTAGGGAACACAGCTCTTTGTACCCTGACTCAGGTACGTCCTAGGTCCATATTCTTCAAGCAGACAGGTGAGTCGGCACCTCTCCGCGGTGAAACCTACCCACAAAGGCAGACACGGTCCTCTTTTATCGGATTTTCTCCTGGACCCAGGCATATCCTGCCTGCCTAGGAAGGGTCGGGAGCGGTGGGTCCCTGGGTTGTCTTGCTCCTTTAGCCTGCCTCTCCTGCTGTGCTCGCACTCCCTGACCGCTCCTGTAGCCCCTTTCTTGTCTGACTCTCACCTTGAGAAAGGGATCCAGGAGGAACAGGAGAGGGAGCCAACTTCAGCCTTGCAGGCGGCTGAGATTTGGCGCCTGTGCCCCTGAAGCTGTTGGGTTTGAATTTATACCTGCAGAAGCGCTGCAAGAAGAGAATGGTGGTGGGAAGGCGAGGGGAGGGGTGTGTGTGTGTGTGTGTGTGTGTGTGTGTGTGTGTGTGCAAAGAACATGGAGGAGGGGGGTTGAATGAGTGAGGTGGGGTCAAGGAATTGCAATTCATTGCTTAAAGCATCTGTTTGCAGGCCCCCGCGGGGTGCTGTCTCGGCAGCTGGACCGAGCACTGTCCAGGGTTCTGAACGCGGCGTGGCTCTGGCTGCAGTGGCGAAAGCAGCCAGAAAGCTTGGGTTCCTTTCCCTTTCAAGCAACTATGCAAAGCCAAAAGGTCCCGATATATAGGGCCGGGGGTGGTGCAGAAGACCCTTCACCTTTTCTTTCTTCTCGGAAAACAAGTTACCTTACCTGCACCCCTTCTCCTTGAACATCTACAATAAGCCCGACCTCTTAGTGGGGAAACATACCAAACTCCAACATAAGGAGACTTTACCAGGCGTTGCCTTAGTAACTGATATGGATTTTCCACAAGCTGGCAGATTCATATTTGCCACTTGGATTTTATGTCAGGGTCTCTTCAACCCCGCAAAGTTAAAGTAAAAGGCACCTCTTTTCACGTTCATTTGTAAGTAGAGCTTCCACCTTTAGAATGAGTTTCCAAATTTTCTTCGGGGGGAAAAAGTTAATCTCTTCAAATTTCGGAAAGTTCTCTTAGGTTGAAGGACTTAGCTCCTCCCCTCCTCTCTTCTCCCTCCCTTGCTGCCCCCTGCCCCCCCCCTCAGGAGTCAGAAAGTCATAGATGGTTGGGGACTGGGAAGAGACTTGAGCTGCAGAAGCGGGCAGGTGGCGGGGGTCTCTTCGCCGCCTGTGAGCTGTGAGAGCGCTGGGAGCAGGATGTACCACTTTCTTTACTGACCAGAACTGCTTTCGGAGCAGTCCCTGCAGCTGCTATCAGGATGTGCTGAAATGAAATGGACGGGGCAACAACTAGCATCACTAACCCCAGAGTTTAAACACAAGTCCTCCGATGACCAGGATTTGAATTTTTTTCCCCTCTTTTACCAGCAGCGTCCAGTTCACCGCCGCCAACACGACTCCCACTTGTACCCTTGATCAATTTACCTTGATGCACCGGTGAAGGACGGGGACTTGAATTCCCTCTAAAAACGCCTGCAGGGTGTGGGGGCGGTCGTGGAGGACCAGGAAGAGGAGGTGGAGGGGAAAGAGGAGGTGGAGGAGGCGGCCAAGGCGTTGGACCAGCAGTGTTGGCGAGGGGGACCAAGCCGCGAGAGGCAGCGTCTGGCGTCTCAGTGGTGCGCTCCCAGAGCCTGCAGGCGGGACCAGCGTGGGAACGCTGCTGGCCGGCGGTGTACCGCGTCCTCACCACCATGGTCCGGCTCCTCTTGGTTTTCTTCCCAGCGATCTTTTTGGAGATGTTCCTTCTCCCCAAGAACCCCGGCAGACAAGTGTTGCTGGCGGGAGCCTCATCGCAGCGCTCTGTGGCCAGAATGGACGGAGATGTCATTATTGGAGCCCTCTTTTCAGTCCATCACCAGCCCCCCGCCGAGAAGGTGCCCGAAAGGAAGTGTGGGGAGATCAGGGAGCAGTATGGCATCCAGAGGGTGGAGGCCATGTTCCACACATTGGATAAGATCAACGCGGACCCCGTCCTCCTGCCCAACATCACCCTGGGCAGTGAGATCAGGGACTCCTGCTGGCACTCTTCCGTGGCTCTGGAACAAAGCATCGAGTTCATCAGGGACTCTCTGATTTCCATTCGAGATGAGAAGGATGGGCTCAACCGGTGCCTGCCTGACGGCCAGACCCTCCCCCCAGGCAGGACTAAAAAGCCTATTGCTGGAGTGATCGGCCCGGGTTCCAGCTCAGTAGCCATTCAAGTCCAGAACCTGCTCCAGCTGTTCGACATTCCCCAGATCGCCTATTCTGCCACAAGCATCGACCTGAGTGACAAAACTTTGTACAAATACTTCCTGAGGGTTGTCCCTTCTGACACTTTGCAGGCAAGGGCGATGCTTGACATAGTCAAGCGTTACAATTGGACCTATGTTTCTGCCGTCCACACGGAAGGTAGGCATTATATTGGGAAAGAAAAGTACAGAGAAAACCAAGGTATTGCATGATGTGCTCCTGGGATCATAATATCGTCCCTGTTTATTTCTAGCACTGTGGGGAACAGACTTTACCCTTCTTAGTACACGCCCACCCAGGCATTGCTTTTTATCCTCATTCCCTCGTAATTATAGCGTAAGCAAACCGCATCTCATGGTGTTACTGGGGATAGGAGGAGCATAAAAAAAAATATCAAAGTCTCCATGCAAGGTGTCCAGCTGTAGATTTTAGTCTTACACGATGGTTTCTCCTCATATCCTAAGTTTTTGTTTGGCAGGCTTATTGGCCCAAGGTGTTAGATTACCCTTCAGTGACTGGTTATGATTATTCAAGTTCAATAGGCTGGCTAATCCTGAGTGAATGGTTAATCAAAAGAAATCGCTGTCTCTGGATGTTAATCTGAGAGCTTTACCTTGTCTTCAACAGTCAGATGGTGTTTCCTTTGTCCTCTCTCATCCCATATTAGAATCCAAAATGTCCCTGAGAATGTGGGATTAATGCAGCCATCTCCCTCAGGACATTGGAAATTTATCTCCAATTCTGGGATAACTCAGATACAAAGAAATTGTAAATAATTCAAACCATTTATTCCTTGCTGTAAATGCTAGAAACACACATTTCTTCACTTCCCCAATAATTATCTTGTTTTATGACAGATGACACTGAAAACTTCTTGGATTTGAGCCTTGGTTTCTAGTCCCCCCCCCCATCATCACAATGACTTTGCTCTTCAAATTTAATGTTAGATCAATTATAAATTACCAATAAAAGGATAGCAGATGTCAGGTTTAAAATGCCTTTTAAAAATGAATCAGATTGACCTGAGGTTAAAAGCTTTAATTTTTTCCCCCGTGTGTTGTAGACATGAATTCTCAAAGAATTTCTTGCTTAAAGATTTTCTTTACTCTCTTCATCTTAGCCTACTTAAATTTTTGGATAAAAATGAGACTTTTGAGCTCATCTATTCTTAACTTCCCTAGTAAGTTTATAAGGAAACTGAGGCCCTGGCACTAAATTGACATCTAGGATAATCCACATGTATATATGCTGGCATGAAGAAGAGAATCTTGAGGGTGTTATTGCATTCATATTTCTTAAAATCAAAAGAAAGAAAGAAAGCCCATAGACATGGCTTCACTTTTCAAAATATTTACAAAAAATTTAGTTACTTGTGTGAGGTCTGATTATAAAGATTAGGAAGCATTCTTAGTAAAATAGTTATATGATCATAGGGAATGAGTAAAGATGCTTTAATTTATAAAAGGCATTGTTTTCAGAACAAACAAAAATGATATAGAATTATACAGCTTTAGTTTCAGAATATTCTTTTGAAAAAAACTTTCTGCTACAATATTGTCACTTCTAATATATAATTTTTGTTTCTGTATCTTGATTTTAAATTATGAACTGCATCCTTCTTTTTGAACACAGACTCATTACTTTTTTAAGACACAAATTTAAGTCCAGAAGTTAAATCCTCTCACATTTTAATGTTAATTTCCTACACTTTAATGTTTAATATAGTTTCCTCTAGTGCTTAGATGGAACATTTTGAAAGTATAAGTTAAAAATGTGTGAAATATCAGCACTGGAGAGATCTCTCCAAAAGGAATGACAAAATCCAGATTGAATGTGGTTTATTGACATATTTAATAATTTTCCCTCCATTGAGCTAGGCAGTTGATTATTGATATTATTATTTCTTCAGGAAGAAGTAATGTTTTATCACTCTATACTGATTTTAATTTTCCATATTTTATATAAGATATTTTGAGGAAGGAAGGGTGTAGAAGAAAGATTCACTTTTCTTATATCTATTTCCCAATAGTATTACTTTGGTAAAATAATTGCTAATGGAGTTTGCTTTCTGAGAATAGAATTATGTTTTTGGAAAATTAATTGAACTTCTATTTTCTAATTTTGTTGAGGAATGACTGATAACTTTACCTGTGTATTACTTTGGACTACTTTATTTCCCCTCTGCTTTCTGACTGTAACTGTATTGCAGAGATGGTATCTTCACATATTCCAATCAAGTGATTTTATTACAGGAGATTACAACTATTCACTTAGCCATTTATATATGCTGTCTTGTTTCTTCTTAAAGGAAATTAATTTCTCTTTTCATTAGACATAACATTTGTGAAAACAGAATTGCTTTTATTTTCTGCTATCCACAAAGAAATTTTGTGTAAGCTCTTGGTGTAAGCTCCAACTAAAAATGTATTTTTCCTAAGGCTCTGCCCTCTGCTTCTCAGAGATGCATTGTGTATTGGCCTACAGGCACTTTCTTGGATCACTTAGTAATTTCCCTGCCTTCAGACTGATGGGGTCATGTAATGTGACGGTTTCCTGTAAATAGCAGCTAAGTCCACATTATCAGGGTTGTTCTTACTAATTCAGCAAGGAAGCCTATTTGTCTGAATATTGGCATTTTGGAGCTGAAAAATCTTGGGACCTCCAGTGACCTTCACTTCTCCTTTCCAAATCGGCCATTGCCTCATTAATTTGTTGCCACCATTTCTTAAGTTAGAAATTAACCCAATATAGTAAATATCAAAAAAAGACTACACTACTGTGGCCTTCATTTCTATAGTTAATCTGGGTGACTTTGCAATCATAGATAAGGCATCTAGTCTTTGAACGACCTCATTTTAAAATATTCCTTTATTACTTTATTGTACATTGAAGTAAGCTTTGAGGTATTTTCTGTTGTTAAATTTTTATCCAGAAGAATTTAGTTTTTATATTCTTTCACATTGTTTTCAATGCTCTATCATATCATCTGTGCTGCAATTGTTGTCTGGTCATAACAACACGACCAGTTTACTTGACAGAAGAGAGAATCAGTGCGAGTGAAGTTACCTGCAATAGACTTTCCAGAAATTGTTCATGATTGCTTCCTGAAAGAAATGTTGAGAAAGATCTGTCAAGGAGGCAGAGGAGCATTGAAGCAATAGAGCTTCACTTGAAAAATTCAAATGCACTTTGGAATGAGCTGCTCACCTGGAATGTGTATCTTTAAATATGCTAAACATAGAGTACAAAAATAGCCTCTACTGAGAATATCTCGGCCAAGGACACATTATTCCATTCTTCTGATGAAATTAAGATTGCTCCCATCCAAAATTAAGTTTAAAACAATACCTAAAATAATTTTATTTGGTTAAATTTGAAGCATTGAGTGAGTGCAATGAAGAATATCCTTTGAATTTGTAGTTTTAAAAAGTTAAAAAAAATTGGGGGGGGGGAAATATTTTCATTTTGTTTTAAGCATTTTTCTCTTCATATGTCTTAGGCCAGCAGTCAGGCAACGATATGACAAAGGTTTAATGGTGCTGCTTTCCTGATAGAAATATTCACTTTTTGTTTGGTTTGATTTTCATTGTGGGATAATATTTTGGGGGCATTTGCTTATGTATTATTTAAAATTGGCCTTTTTTGACTTCTTTTCAAAGTTGGATCTTTTTCTTTTAGCAACTTTTTTACTATTTCATATAAAACTAAAGTTAAAATTCTTATGGCATCAGAGGAAAGTCCTCCTAAGTCATAAGTACTGTGCAAGGATAAAAAGATTATTTTAGATAATGCAATTACATATAATATTTTTATACCTATTGTTATAGTTCTTGTCTACTTACAGTAATTTTCTCTATACCTTTATTTTCTTGGCTGCAACATATTTCACAGGAAGTTATCTTGATGAATTGCTCTATTTTTTCATATTATAAGGAATAGAGTTGTTTTGAAAGTTTATTTAGGCCAACCAATTTAGGTGCTTAAAACTCCACTATTACAACCTTATCCATGCTCCAAGGTTATGATTTGATTAGGATTTCTAATGAGAGTGGGGAAAATTTTGGAGTTAAATTCCAAAGCAGAAGCTCTCAGTTTGTTTTTCTTTATACCATAAACTGACTCCCTGACATTTCCTCCAATTTCCCATCAACCCCTGGGTATCATCTCAAAGAATGCAAACTCTTCTGTCATTCGATATTTGTTTTCAATGAGTTCTCTCTTTCTTATACTACACCTCATCAGTTTATTCTCTCATATATCCTTGGTTCTGGTTCCTTCACCATGATAGCTAACTTTAACTAGACCGTAGATACATTGTTAAACCAAAGTCTTCTAAACAGTATGTGCCTCTATTAAGTCATATCTTCTTTCCTTTATCCTTGCACAGTTATTATTATCACTATTATTAGTGCTACTATATCAAATGGTAGAAATGTGATATTTTTCTTTTAAAGGTAAAATTATTAGCTTAAGTCTGCCTTTTTAGCTTATTAGTAGATTCTAGAATTTTGATGAATTTATCTTAGAATTCCTACTTTGTGTCCTTAGGATTCTAGCTTCCTTCAGTGGCCACTTGTCCTGCTATGAACTATTTTGACAGTATGCTTTTCCACTGTATATCACACCACCTTGTAGATACACCAATAACTCTAAATAGTTTAAATGAAAAGCTAGTACAGTGGATGTTCAACTCACCTTGAACATTTACTATATAAAACTCTATGTCACAAATTTTAAAACTTACTCTCAGTTATTAAGTAGTTTACACTAAAAGTGCAGTTTGAACACATAAAACAAGTAAAATCTAATCATTGGCAATATAGACTTTAAAAATATGAGTTATGCTTAAGAAGTATTAAAAGAAAATATTGGTGATTTAGTTATCTTGAGAAAAACTAGAGGCAAGAAAATTTTGCTTAGTGTTTTATTTGGTCACATGGATTGTAAACATTTGTAGCAGTATTGAAAGTGTCTCCTTAAAGGGAAAAATAAGCAGATCTATTTACTGGAATGGGAAGTCCAGGCCAGCAACTAATAATAAAGACAGAAGTAGGCTGTGATATTCTGTGATTCCATAAAGATGGAATATGTAGGATAATAATGTAGAATCTTGAAGCATGTGCCAAAGAGTATGGGTTTTAAGAAAGATGTTCAAGCAG